TTGGGCAGGAATTAGTCCCCAACACGCAGTTAGTGAAATGGATTGTTCTGAAGCTACTGCAGCCTACTTAAAGGGCCTCCAGAGCTCAGTGAATCTACCTGCTGGTTAGTATATAACAATTTTCAACACAGAGAAGGTCAAAATCCTGCCCCATCCCTGGCAGTGCTCAAGGGCAGGTTGGACACAGGGGCTTGGAGCAACCTGCTCTAGTGGAAGGTGTCCCTGCCCGTGGCAGGGATTGGGACTGGATGAGCTTTAAGGTCCCTTCCAACCCAAACCAGGCTGGGATTCATCCAGAGCAAGCTCTTCCCTATTACTTCCCTATCAGTTCCACCTGTGCCTTCCTCAACCTGACCCTATTTGCCATGCACCATCCCAGAAAGCTGCTCAGTGATGAACAAAAGACCCAGGTAGCCTCTTGCTTTAAAACACGAGCTGGCTGTAGCCCAGATCCCTTCCCCTGTAGGGTCCTGTTCTGCTCCACTGCAGCTGGTTCACAAACGATGATGAGGTCCACACATGGCTCTGGTTAAAAGAAACGAACAGCGAGCCCTGTAAGAGGGGCTGGGGGAGGAACTTGAGCTTTGGAGATTACATTTCAGCATCCTCAGGTGGAGGAACTTTTACTGTATTTGTGCATGGTGCAGAAATTTAGGAAGAGCAGAATGGAGATGCTTTCTTTAGAGCCGCCTCAAGCCAGCCTCCATCATCTAAGCAGGAGTGTTCCCAGCTGAACAGCTTTCTAATGCCACGTGCACTACCTGTGTCTAAAACTGCAGCTTCTTTCTGCAGTCACAGAGAGATGGTAGAAGAGAAAGAAAGGCAAGATCCAGCATTTAAAGTCATTCTAAAAGTTAATACAGGAGCACGGAAGGCCCTGTATGTTGGCTGTACCAGTCAGTGTGATGGATAAGGTTGCTGTGTTTGGGTTTAGACTTATTGTTTGTCATTCTCTTGTTGTTTTTCATGAGGTGAGAAGAATTATTGTCTTATTTATTAGGCAGAAGCCAGTCTACTTAAAAATAGACATGTTTATTTCCAGGTTCTGCAGGACAAGGGGTAAGGTACCAAAAGGGTCAGTAAGACACACTGCTTGGAACACAGAGCTCTGCTTTACCCTGCCCAGCAGCAGAGCCTCAGCGGTGAAGAAACAGCATCTGCTTAATCCCAAGCAGGAAAGTGACTGCATCCACCCTGCTGCAAGAGGCATGAATCTCCCTAGATCACTGCTGTTAAGCCCCAGCAACTACTGCCCACCTCCAAGGCAATCCATGATTTTCCACAGGTAAGGAAGTGCATTCCCAGCTGCTGCTGCTTCAGCTGCAGCCAGTGTTTGGCACTGCTTCAGGTTTGTTTCAAAACCACACGAAGCCTATCACAGAGGAGACCTTCTGCAAGCCAGCTGGATGTCTTTTCAAACAAATAATCCCCTCTTGTAAGCTCTTCACTCTCCTGTGCTGCTTTCCTGGAAGTTCCCCCCCCGTGCCAAGATTATTTCTCCCCTGGATTGTGCAAGGTAGTTTAGTTCAAGCAGGATTTTGCAGTCTGGGATAACCAACAGCAGCCTCCTGCAGAGGATTCCTCGTTTCATTCTTGCTCACTAAAGACAATGCACCTTCTTGCCAGAGAAATACTTCTTGGAGTAAGGAGAACCCTTCACAAACACCAAGACTGTTGGAGTCCCAGCTTTTACAAAATACCTGCAAAGATTAAAGGGATCCTTTGGCTTCATGCAAAGTGAGCGACTTCCACCCAGCTCCATAAAGCCTGATCTCCCAAAGGCCAACGACAAGCTTTTGTGCTGATTAGCAGAGCCTGTTGGAGCCAGGGCTACAGTGTTTTATGAATCAATTCTTCTCCCAACAGCTATTTCTAATTAAACCAGATGTTACTCTCCCTATGGAAGGAGGCTGCTTTTGCAACTACCCCCTTTTACAGCCTGAAATCAGAGGGTTTATGCTGTGGAACTTTATGGAGTGACAGCTCAGACACAGCCTGCAGCAGAGGACGTGGAGCTCCGCTCTCACTGTGACAGACCAAGCCAGTTGTGCAGCAGGCTTCCTCCAGCTAGCAACAAGCTGGTGCAAGTTAACAGCAAAGCCTTTACAACAACTTTTTGGCTGCACAAACAGCAAATTCTTCTCTCTAAATAAGTGCAGAACACTTTAAAGTCAGTGAAGCTGTGCTGCATGCTGCGCTGGGGGCTGCTCACGCAGCATTATTAACAGTGAGAGCATTGTTAACCTTCAACACACTCTCTTTATATGCTGCTGCTATTTTTTTCCCTAAAGTAGTACTGTGTAGATGGGATCTGAAACAGCCCTTCGTTGCTGCTGCTTGTGTACAGCCCAACTCCCCTTCCCATCTCCATCCAGCCCTGGAAGGAGTTATTCTTGTTTTGGGGAAACAAAACATGTAAGATGCTAAAGCCAGACACAAAATCCATGCCCTCCCATTGCTTTATACGTTTAAGAGTTAGGACTAATAAATCAGAGAAGATTAGGACTATTAGAGTCCAAGATTTAGGACTATTAAATGAGAGAACAAACTGCACTTAGAGCCCAAAGCTCGTACTTTCTGCTCTCTCTGGACAGGAACAGGCACAGCCTTACCTCTCGTGCTGCAGCACTTGTAGCAATGTGTGTTCTGGGTTCAGCTCGTACATTTCTGCTCTTTCTTCATCTTCAAAATAAAGCTGGAAAATATTTTGGAGGGTTATGAAACGTCTAAGGCACATGAGAGCAAACTATTAAGCTGTTGGAAGTCCAGTAACAACACACCATGTATCAACTGGAGGTTTATCAAACTTCCGTAGCGTGGACCAACCGTGTCAGACTCAAACTTCAATGTAGAAACTGGTTTGTGTAAATTCCAACTCTTCCCTGTATAAACCAGCTTAGCTCCTTACAGCAGGAGGGCAGAGCATGCTGCCTGTTCCTGTGCTCCACAGAGAAGCCATGTAAATCTACAGGTTGCTTTTTGGCAGGTGAAAGGCAGCAGTGGTATGAGCTAAACCGGGTAAGTTTAAACATACTTGAACAAACCAGAGTAGATTTAAGAGATTCAAATCCAGCGGCTGTGCCTTAGACTGTAGATACGACACCAAAGTGGGAAATGAAAAGTAAACTTTTTTGTATCCTTCTGTCTACAGTTTCTGGAAAACTCTCAAACCCTGCTGCAGACGCAACCAACTCTCCACTTTGGCTACCCCACCTTTGCTGAAGTCTTAACAGAATGGTTTGGGTTGGAAAGGACCTTAAGATCATCCAGTTCCAACCCCCTGCCACGGGCAGGGACACCTCACACCAGACCATGTTGCTCAAGGCTCTGTGCAACCTGGCTTTGGACACTGTATAATCTTGATGGGATTAAGTGCTTAAGCACCTCCAGTTAGTTCTGAAAATAACCTGGTTTTTTTAAACAATGTTTTCTCATCTGCACTGAGCAACTTCTCAACACAGTTTACAAGACAGGCAGCCTACCAGACTGATGGTCTAAATCTTAATGGTCAGTACAAAGATGGGAATCTAAGCAGTACCCAGGAATACCTTCTATCAAGCACAAACGTAAGTGGAAGACAAAAGAGCTTTCATTTTCATTGATGAATTCTGTGTCCGTGTCAGCACATGTGGGAAACGTTTGAGTTCATAAATGAATGTACCTCTCCAGGTCCTTATTTCATATCCATGTATGGTGAACAGGTAATGCCACTGCTCTCACACACTCAAAGCTGTGTATTTTCTCACTCCAGGAAACACAAAACACAACAGAACAACCTTGAAAGAGAAGGAAAGTCAAACTCCTCACCTCGAGATTGCTGGGAAGGTATTTTCTTTCTAAATCCCACGGAGGTAACTCAGCAAACATCACCATTAAATGATCAATAAACCTAAAAGCCAAAACACACTTGGCCAGCTTAGACAAAGTGTTCAGCTTCAATAATGTGTACAGTTGCATTTGAAGGACGGTAGAAATACATTAGCAGATTAGACAATAGATTGAAAGCAAGTTTAGATCACTAACAGTTTCTTCCCTTCAAACCCACTGTTTTCCCAGTGCTGTAACTCATGCTATTGGATTCAAACTTGAGCAGTGCAACAACAAGTTATTTTTAACTTCTGGTTTTCACACTGAAAAAGATGTCAAAATAAACACCCTCAATTCTGTCCAAAATTGATTTTCCTTCTACATGCTCCCATCAGCACCACACTTCACCAGATGAGAGTGCTGAGAATATGCCTGTGTGTCAGAGGTTTGCTTTTTATATTTAATTCTCTTTCTGAGACCCAGTATTTGGAGGGCTTCAATACAGCACCTTAATGAACCTCAGGCATGCAGGTGGGTTTTACCAGCCACTGCTCTCAGCTGGCACTGCAAACCCCTTTATCACACTGGCTAAATATGATGTATTTCTTTGAGCTATAAATTCATGTAATGTTGACATTTTGCCCATCGTATTTTAAAGCACCATTTGTAAATCACAGAATATCCAGAGGCTGGAAAGGACCTCAGGCGGTCATCAAGAGCCACCTCCTGCTCCAAAGCAGGGTCAGCTATGAGATTAGAAACCTGGAACTACTTCATTAGCATGGCAGTGTTTCACTTGCCGTCTGTTCTCATCTATTCAAACACCTCCTTCATGCGAGAGTGCTGCTGACAGTGCATTTACCTGGAGTTCTCATGGAAAGCCACGGTGAAGTCTGTCTGCTCGTGCTCAGGGTACAGAAAGAGGACAGGCCAGTTCAGGTTGCCATCAGCATCTAAATGCACCTTTGCTCCTGTGGCATTGTCAGACTGGAACCCATCTAAGGATATCTCAGCCAGGCCATCTGATATTTCCTCTTCTTCATTTGAAGGCTCAATAACCAGCTTGATATTTCTTTCCTGGAGGAGAGGAAAGACAAGAAAACTCCCCAAACAACCAAAAACCAAACAGGTATGGTGGGGAGAATAAGAGTGAAGCATTAGCAGTCAGCAAAAAGACAAATCGTGTCATGCATATAAGTCAGCTCTTAAACGTGCCACCAAAAGCTTTCCTACAGTATTAGACTCAAGTGATTGGTCTTCCCAGTAGAACTCATAACCTCAGTGAGACACCCAGGCTCCTCATAAAATGGATGAGGAGAGGTGGGAATCCAGAGAAACCTGCGTGCTGAGAGAACAGCCTGAGAAAACGTGGGGAAAGGGATGCATCTGAAATCCTGTTCTTTGGAATCCCTTGGGCATAACTTCAGGGTGAAACTAGGTGCACCAGCTCCCGAGAACATCCACTCTTTCTAGAGTGCTGAAGAAAGTTCACACTTTTCTTTGGAAAGACAACTGCAGAAGAGGAGATCTGACTTTATATAGTAACCCAAAATATTTTAACATAGCCCAAACATTTGCTGAGGAAGGAGAGGATCAGTATTTTCTTTCTCTACCCTACTAGATGGTTATCTTCTATCCTTCCACTGAAGTAATGCCCATCAACAGCAAAGAAAGCAAGGTTCATTGGCCCAGCAGCCAGAGCACTCTCCTGGATGCTCAGTCCATTCTCCTAACACTGGGTTTGTATTCTGAATTAGTTGTTACCTGAAATATGGCAACCTGGGAGCTGGGGCTAGAGCCACACAGATAAGGAGAATCATGTTTTAACTCAAGTTTTTTGTCTCTAGCCCTCAAAAGCCTGTGTATGAGAACAACTCCTAGAGACAAACAAGAGAGCTCTTAAAAAACCAAACCAAACCACACAAAACCAACGCCCCCCCCACACCTACCCACCTTTATTGCTGCAAGCAAAATCTCCTTTTCACACTGCTCCTTCTTCTCCATCACCTTTGCTTTCCTTGCATCCCGCTCCTTAGCTCGCTACATGTAAGAAAAGGTTGCACCATGGTCACACACAGCAAGTCTATGCCCATCACTGCTCTACCCTGCCAACGAGTGGAGAAATCAGAGCTCCAGAAGGTCCCCTCTGGCTCTTTCCCCTACACATCTCGACAACATACACTATGTGGAACCACCACTCAGTTTTATTTGGGGATATTAAACTACACAGGAACTTGTTCAGAGCACTCTTCAATCAAGGATCCCAAAGTGCTTCGTGACACAAAGTAGGTGACGAGCATTGCAGGCACTAGACTGCCTTAATACTTACCTTTAACTTGTCAGCTTTAGCTCTCACTTCCACAAGTTTTTTCTCTTTTGAATCTATTTGCAAGCCCTTCTCACACCACTCTATTGCTTCAGAGAAATTCTTCAGCTCCATGTGACAGAGAGCTCCTGGAAGGATGAAGATTTTAAGTTTTTAGTACAGGAGTCAGTATACAACTACTACACAAAGTGCTGGTTATAAAGACAGCTTTAGCCCTAATGCTTTCAAGATGCACACACAGCAGCACATGTGTGTGCCATGTCCAATCGTAGGCTTCCAGCAGGTCAGCTGAGAATAAAATCTAATGTATTTCAGTAGTTCTTGTATCATTTGCTTATTTACTCACAGAAATCAGCAGAATGATGCTAGAAGTGTCTGTTACAAGCAAAATGATATCATTATAACTAATATTTCAGCATTTGTCTCATAAGAAAGAATAAAGTGGCAATTTCCATGGAGTGAGAAATGCTGGGAGGAAAAGTAAGCAAACCCCAAAAACTAGCGTTGTGGTAAGCAGCACAAGTTATGCTGTACTCTACAGAAAGTGGTCTACGACCTCTTTCACAGATATAGCAGCTGAAGAGCACAGAGCAAAAGGCCAGTGTTTTGACTGAAAATCCAAAGCAAAACACAGAGCTCTGTTTCGGGGAGACACAGCAACAATAAAAAAGAGAAGAGGTCTCTTAAGGAAACTGCTTTACTTTCCTGAAATCAATGCTGCCCTGAAACAGCGTGATGCTCACTCACAGTAAATTAAGGTTATTTAACATAGAAACAGGCAGTGAAACAAAGCAACATCTAACAGTCTGTTCTAGGGCTTCAACAGTAACAGCATAAAATAAGTAAAGTTAGCACGTGCAAAGGTGTGTGGAAACTATGTTCTTGTCTTCCAGGCTTCCAGTCTTACCTCTTATAATTGCTTTGAGGTGGGTGGGCTTTAGCTTTGTTGCTTGGATGGCATCATTAAGAGCAGAACGGTAGTTACCTACAAACGAAACAGAACCGCTCAGAACCTTCCACTGGTATTTAAAACCCATCCAGATCCCATGGTGACAAAATAGCTTATGCAGAGACTCTGTAATTCACCGTTTCTACAGTCATTGTGAGGAGAGTGGAGGAAGAGAGAGCAAACAAAGAGCAAGAAGTGAAAGGACACAGGAATCAATCATACAGGGAGGAGGTAAGTAACATGACTGTGAGCAAAAACCATCTCCCAACTGCATTAAAAGGCCAAGAACACCTTCCCTGCTGTGCATATGCCCTTAGTAGGATGTGTAGTAGCTTGAGGAGGACATGGCCAGGAAACAGGAATAGAATGTGTTGCTTCAACAGATTTTTAGGGTCAGGGCATCCCTCTGTAAGTTCCAATCACTTTGTGAACCTATTCAGCATCAGGGGACGCAATACCAGACCTTCTGGTCACCAACACAAGTGAGCTCATCAGTGCCATCAACCCTGGAGGCCGCCTGGACTGCAGCGACCATGCACTGACGGAGTCTGCAGCCCTGAGGGACATGTGGAAGCAACCCTGGACCAGCCCTGTCCGAGGCAGGACGGCGTGTGCCGCGTTACCCAGGTAGAACTGTGCGGCCGCTCTGTTGGTGTGCAGCACGGCGCTCATCTCCGGCTCCTCGCACTTCCTTCTCAGCCCCTCGGTGTAGGCAATGACAGCTTTCCCGTACTCCTTCTCCCTGAAGTACTCGTTCCCTTCGTTCCTGTACATCCTGGCCAGCTCTGCGGGGGAAGGGGAAGGGCCTGAGCGGGGCCGCAGCGCCCCCCCGG